AAGCCTGCGAGCTCACTGAGGTCCGAGAGTCAGCCCACCGAACAGGACGAAACATCCTCGTGGCTTTCTATAAACTTCATCAGACAGCAGATATAACATGAACACAATGATTTTATTTAATGTTTCTTTTTATGTTTTTTAGTCTCCCGACAAAAAATGAGCTAAAACTTTGCATTTGGAGAAAACTTTAGAGCAACTATTTACATTTATTTATTTTTTCCACACATAATTGCTTATTATTATTTTAAAATGTATGATTTTTTATGTTTAGGCGCTAACATGAACTTTTAAATAAACTAGAGGGTCGTGGTTTACAACGATCACTTCTTTTAATGCTCTGGGGTCTTGGTTGCTATGGTAACACATCCGCAGACGTGAGCTTTACTTCCTAACGTCACAGACACGGTGACAGCCTGTGAACATGAACAAATGGACGACCTGTTCCTCACTGCTTCACTGTGAGACGGCTGCTAGGCAACAACCGAACCTTCACCTTCACCCTGAAGACAAACTCGACATCGTTCTCCAACCTCGGCTGGGAAACCGGCTGATGTGTGGAGAGATTCTCAAACTCAAACAAACCCCAAACTAATGCAAAAACAATCTGAAGCTTTAGCAAACAGGTACAAAACAACAGCACAACATCAAAACCAGTACAAACCACTGTGGTTGTCATGGTCACCTACCTCCATCCACTGTCCGTGGGACTGCATGTTGAGCACAATGCAGGGGTCGGGTTTGGACAGAGCGTCCCGGTCTGAGATCCCTTTACAGGTGAGTCTGAGCTCCACTTTGGTGAGACAGGGACTGCTGAACAAGCCCAGAGAGTTGGCTGCGGACTCGTAGATGTCACTCATGGTGGAGGCGGGACAGGAAGTCTGAAGGAGAAGCAGAAAAGTTCCAGAAAAGGCAGCATTAAGCACCTTTAGTTTAAGGTCGTTTAGAGTCCCCGCGTACATTTCGCTGTCAGCCTCAAAGACTGAACCGTCACCATCACGCCATTTCTCACTGCAGGAACGATTCATGTACTGACCAGAATCAGTCCTGACCGCTGTCAGGCTCACAAATATCCTCTCCAGGGCAGAAACCTCTCAAAACTACTTACAACAAGCACCACTGTTACAATATCAGTAAAAGAGCATGATGAGACTCAAAATGCCAGCTCACGAGTCCTCCTGATCCCGCAGTGGAAACAGGAAGACAGAAAGAGCCAATCACATGGCCAATCCTTGCACCTACCCCGAGTTCCTGCAGCAAACAGGTGCTCAGCATCAATGAGCCTCTAAAGGGCAGTAAGCTAACAGCCACGGAAATGATTCATGCAGCTTTTGTATTGTGAATTCGTACATCGTACATCATCGCCACTGCAGGCTTATTAAATTCTGTTTTTCCACAAACATTTGCTTCCAGCTGTTTAAAAATGGTCACCATTGGATTGTGCTGATTGGACCAAACCGATGCGAGGAATTGTAACGCAGATTCTTTCACGCATCCAGCTTGTAATCCTACAGTAACCCCGTTTAGGGAGTCGGGGATATTTCAGCTTTTACAACAGTACAAATACACATCGCTGCAGAGGAACGACCAAAGTAAAAGAGACTACAGGTTAGGGGTGGGCGATGGAAACGATATAAATTTGGCCAACGGTAGAGATTTTGACCATACCGCTCTATCGCGATAGCGCATGTTGATGATGTCATCAAGCTGCGCCTGTTTTGGTTAAAAGCATCGCAGCGGCTAAAACCATTATCATCTGCAAATTATGCCACAGTCACAGCAAAGAGATAAAGCACTTTTGAAATATGGGGAAAGCCAAAAACTGCGCTTCCTCCACTTCCGTAACATTGATTCATTAATGCTGAATTCTCTCGCAGCTGCTCTGTTCCCATGTTGTTGCAGTATATTAATAACTAACCTCGTATTGTGGATGAATAATCTCA